AATAATTGTTTTATATCATCAGTAGTAGCTTCTTCATAAGGTGTTAAATTGTGTCGTAAATTTCTTATGGAATGTACAGCACCGTATTCCAATAAAATTTTAACCATATCTCGATGTCCATAATAACATGCTACATGCAAACATGTCGAACCAGTTGAACTTTGAATTTCATTGATGATATTTATATTACCAATAAAAGGTAAAATATTTTGAACTTTTTCTATTTCATTCTCTTTACATAAATGATATAATAAATCAATGATATTTGAATTATTTTTGTCATTATTTGATGGCAATGCTGATAACATTATGACAAAAAAACGAAAAATCGAATATAAAGCAAAGTTGAATATATTTTCGATGTGTTTTACGTATTAACTATAAAGGAATAATAAGGACAATGATTTAAACTACGAACTTTTCTGTTTCTATTTCTTTGACATTCAAAATATTCATATTAGCCGTATAATCCTTTGATATTTATAAAAAATAAAAAGTACTTCCCTAGTCGACTCTCCCCAATGAAATCACCGGGGAGTCCCCAAATTTCAGAGAGTTCTTCTAAAATTTTCATAAGTTTGAATTTTTCGGAGAATTCCAATGGTGGCTTCTGGAGAGATTCTGTCTCCTCTTAACTCCTCCAGGGACTCACGACAGGGATTCCCCCGAGATTCTTCTAGAAAGTCTCGACTCGAGTTACGTTTAGGCTTATTTTATGCTTTTTACTACACTGCTCTTTATAATTGTTGTAAATTATATCGAGATATAAATATACCGTTTAGCACTATGCCTACTTATATCCCATAGAATGGTCAAACTACACAGTAAAATGAGCGTGCACTCTGAACAAAATAAAAGAGTTGTACCAAATCTAAAAACATTCGGAGAATTGCAACGAATTTTGAATCTTTCGAAGGTTTTATACAAAAAAAAGGACACATATAAATTTAGGTTTTTTTACAATAAAAAAATTTGAATTATCTAGCTCGATATTTGTCTATTCACTTGACTATGTCTCTTTATACTTAATTAACTATCCGTTTAACTACCTGACTAATTCTCTATTTTTCTATCTATCTGTTGAGTGAACTGCTTAAGTACCAATTTATCCAACTAACTACAGGTTCACTCTCGAAATAATATTGCTTATCAAACACCTTATGCATCAGCCAACAGTTATGCACAATGTATCCTCAAAATATTTTCAAGCTTTTGTACGAAATATTTTTAGGAAAAAGCAATTTATTTTTGTTTCACACGTATGGATCAGAAGTTCTTAGACTGTTTTGAAAGTTGAGTTTCTATACTATTTGGCCGATCAAGTCATAGGCTTGAGAAGTCAACATTTTTCAGAGATTGTACAATCAGAAAATCATCCAATACGATTCAAAGAGTAAGATGTATTAAAAATTAAAGCAAAGGCGATACCATGGTTCGATATCCAACACTAGTAGCAGAAATCTCAATATTAATCTATCTATGCTATAGGTAGATCGTGCCAACAGAGTTGCGTGTGCAAGTTTTGATAAGATATCATTATTGTCTGAATGCCGTATTCTTTTGTACAACGAATCAAAAGTCTGGGAACGGTAAATAAGAGAAGCTGCTCTAATGCTATTCCTACAGACAAAACAATCGAAATACTATGTTAGTAATGCGCTTAAGTCGAAGTAGAATGGAAGAAAACTTTTTCACGGATCCATGAAATCTCTTGAAGTAGTAAAGACTTTTGTACATTTCTTTCAAGCACCTTCTCTCGTGACATTTAACCCATCTTTATACATTTTTTAGTAACCAAAATTATTTCCATACTATGACCTTATTGAACTCATGGAAAAAGAATATAGATTTCTGGCTAAAACTCAAATGATAACCTTTTTTTCGACTCAGAAACTGCTTCAAATAAATCAATAAGACTTTCCTGGTCGGATTAGACCTTTTTTTTTTTATAAAAAATTTGAGTAACCTTAAATGTCTTCTTATTGCTTTCGTCTTTCGGTGTCTTTTTGACTTATACCGAATGTAACCAATCATTTTAGAGAAATTTTGTTGAATTATACATGAACAGCTTTTGAAAAGTCTTTTGTTACTTACATATAGACTTAATACTTTCTCTTCGTCCAAATTTCTTATTTTCTGTTACGATACTTAACAAGGAAATGGCCTATGATTGTATATAATACGCTTGTATTTTTAAATAGTTCTAAATGGCGTTTTAGTGTAAAAAAGACGGTCCTATATTTTCAGGAAGTACCACTGCGAAACCAGATTGCCTTTACCTTGAGAGTATTCTGCTAGAAAGTATCTTGATAATTCTGACAGAGAAAGTAATCAATAAGCGTATTAAAATTTTCATTGTTAGAATCTCGTTTTTCATCCAACTGTAGACTTTCTGGGGCGCCATTCGTCGATATATTTTTGCTGTTATTCTTGCTTGTGTTGTTGTTCTCGTTCCTGTTGTTACTGTGCTTCGTACTCTCGTCTTCGCATCCTGATGGGCTGTTCGTATTTTATTCTGTTTTCTAACATGGTCTTTCATGTTGCTTATGATGAGTGTTTTGTGTTCGGACGATTTTCGTGAATAAAAAGTAGAAGAGTCGAGAGAAAAAGCGAGACGTCAGCAAGGCATACGATTAGGGATGGAAATGTGGAGGATTTCCACTTGCTAACTTTCTTCTTATGTTATCTCTTTCTCCCTGAAGATTTCTTTCTTTTATAGTTAGTTAACAGCTTCTAGTCCATCGATAGAGCGAATCAACTATGCATAACAGAAAGTTTTTTCTCTAGGTTTTAATGAAACCAGCTATTTTCTCTCAAAAAAAATATTTATCTTCAATATTACAAAGATAACTAATTATTCTCTTACTAAGTGACACGATCCACTCAATTTTTTAATGAAACTGTGTGAGATCCAAAGAGGAAATGCATGGAATCCTGAGAGAAGTAAAACAATTTGTATTTTGCAAAGTGACTGATTAACACGGAACACAATCAGACAAAAGTCAGGAGTATTATTATATATTGAACATATCTACCGTTTAGTCAACAGACACTTAAAAACAGTACGTACATAGATTCGGTCCAACATCTGAGTAACAACTTCAAGTATCTGTGACTGAACATGTTCTAGCTGCGCGAGTGGTAGATCTAGGATTTTGGAAGAAGGAAGGGTACTTTTTCCATGGACAGCGCGATCATGGGTAAAAATCACGTTTTAAGACTTAATCGAGGTAGTATAAATTCGTTTTTCGTTCGTTTTTGCTGGAAAAAATCGAGAAACATTTCTTGAAAAAAAGGGACAACCGCCTCGTCACCCTCTAAACCCGTTACTGAGCTATGTAGCTAACTATATATCCAGCGAATCTTTGAATATGTAAGCATCCAACAGTTTTCGCGACATAGTGATGATGTACTTTTTCGGATATCGTGTATGCAACATTTTCGTAGGATACTATTTAGTTTTGAGAGACTTTCTCCCTGAATTCTTCTCATAGCTAAGTAAAACCAAACGGAAGTTATGGATTGTAAGAGAGCATACGTTAGCGTACTTCACTACATTTCTCTTACACTTCAAATTTTTATTTTAAATACTGAAGTCGCGCTTTTTTTCTCCTTGACGAGAACACACCGTCTTACTCATGTCGCATGTCAAATCATGAATCAACAATAAAAGAAAAGGGCAGATTTGGGTTACCAGTTATAAATAGGCTTGAGCATCCAACTCTATTGAAAAGAAAGTAAATACGCATGAGGATCAAGATGAGTAAATTTTTCTCCTGAGTTGACATATTATTAATGTGTTCCTCTGTTACAGGCTGCGAAGAGAGGAAGGACAAATAAATTTATTGCGTACTGAACATATAGATAATGCACTCGTCGTCATCGTACTTCATTTCTCCCATAAGTAAGATGCAAATATCTCCTTTCTAAAAAAACGAAGAATATGTTATCAATTTGGATCAAGGGGGAAACAGCAGACTCCGGAACTTCATGGGGTTCCACGGTATTTTAAAGATCTCCAAAATAGTACAATTATTCACGAAATTCCTCAATCTGTTTTATCATAGAAATATTTCTTGTCCAATGCTGAACTACGGACAATTAACGACCAATCTATTCCTAAAATGTAATGTGAGCACTCACAGAAGCAGTGTATATGATATTTAGTGATCTCGAACTTAAAAAAAGAATTATTTGACTACTTTTAATAACGTACCTTTTAGGTTGATAATCAATTGAAAAAAACTGTCAATCAAAAACAAAATATATAAAAACTAAACGTGGAATTGTTCGATAGCTACAACATGTAAAATAACAATAATTGAATCAGTTCGTAAGGGTTAAAATTACAAAAATAGTTTCGTAATCAGATACGATAAAAGAAGCAATACGAGAAGAATATGAAACAAAACAATGTTTCTAACAATGGAGATGTTTGTGTTGTAAGTTAAATCGATTAGACATATTAAGATCAAACGAAAGCTCTCGCCGCCAAAGTAACAAGGTTAAAATATTAGCTCCCCTTGGCTTGCCTATAGGGAGATATTTAAAGTTCAAGGTGTATGAAATTTAGGCATAAAAATGAATCAGAAAAGGTTTTTTCTACTA